CCACCTCGTCACGGGCAAAACAAGTTGAACATCTGCTCATCGATGGACGCTACAGTTTACAGATGTTCCCTGAACGCCCCACAGTGCTGGCTGTGCTGCTGGTGGCTGCAGCTGGTGGCTGCGGTGCTCAGACAGGCGTGTCACCGGAACACACTGAAAAGAGTTCAACTGGGCCGTTCTAGGGTCAGATTAGTCCCAGATGAAACAGAGTGACTTTATTCTACAGCGTGGAGCGGACCGACATGTTCAGCTCGTAGAAAACAGTGAATGCAGGAGCGCTGCACGTGTCATGAGAAGAACGCAACAATCCACCCAAAGTTCTAAAAGTTAGAGAACCACTGTGGTGAGCTGAGCAGCTGGTCACAGTGACACCAGAACAGCTGATCATCAGGCACTGGTACCAATGGGACTGGTTGACATTTAAACTCTCACACTCTGGAACAAATAGTTTAAATGTCTGAAGCCCTGGTTTGAGCTTTTGTTGTTTTTTTTTCCTAGTCTTTGTTGTTTTATGTCTTTTTTTTTTTGTCGTGGTTGTGTTGTTTGTGTTGTTTTGTGTCTAATGTTTATTTTTTTGTCTCTCTTTTGTTTCCGTTTTGCTTTTATCATCGTTTTGGTGTCTTGTTTTTTTTGTAGTTTTGTGTCTTTATTTAACTTTGCGTCTCCTTCACAAAGCTTTCTGTCCTTTCTGTTGCTCTGAGTCCCGTTTGTGGCGGTTTGACTCATTTCTGAACAAAAATCCGCTGCAGTCTTTATATTGTGACACCTGGATGGATGTAAAATTGATCAGTCATGTGATTATCTGCTGTACTGATGAAGTTCTGAGGCTCAGAAATGATGGAAAATGATCAATCTGGACCCTCCTCTGTGGACTTTGAGGGCCTGGAACTCTAATATACTAAAGCTACTGTGGATAAAGAATCAGCGACTCTGATTTCTGTTTATTTTAATTGACTCTTGTGGTAATTTCTTTGCTGCCACTTTTCCAACATTTTCTGCGGTTTGTTTTCTGCAGGATGTGACCTTAGAGTTGCATCGGCTCTTTCAGGATCCTCCTCCTGTCCTCGTCTTCTGCATTAAAGGTGACCGGATCATCCTCTGAGAACCTCGACGGGTCTCTGGATGTGAAGCCTCTCTGTTAGCGTCCCTCCGTCTCCTCCGTCCCGTCGCGGTCGTCTCCTCCGAGATGCTCTGACAGCAGTGGACACCCTGCACTGTGATCTAACTGTGTTCAGTCATGCGGGACAAAGAGCTGTTGTCTTCCTGTGCCGTCACTCGTCTCTCCGCTCGGCTCCACCATCACTAAGTAGAAGCTGGGCCGGCCGGGTGAGCTGCCTCTGGGCTCCGGCTCTGAGAAACGCATCAGTGACGAGTTCGAGGCGTTTACACCAGCGACAGCGTCACGTTTCCTCCTTACATCCCACCGTCCAAACACAGCAGGCCCCAAACGTTTCCCAGGCCTCGGATCGCCGCTTCTTCCTCCGTCGCTCTTTTCTTTCTGCGGCGATCTCGAGGCCAGCTGGCTTCACGAGGCTCCGACGGTGCCAGAGGTTCAAAGAAAGGCCCCTTCGCTGGCAGAGTGCGACCGGGCCGGAGCTCTTTACACAAGAGGGATTCTCGGCATAATTTCTAGTGGAGTCGCTCATTGAGGCAGCAGGCTGGACTCCGCAGGGGGCAGGATGTGTTTTCTCACAGATAGCTATTGTGTTTGGAGGAAACTAATTAGATCATTTGCTGGGAATTAAGCAAATTCAGCATTTTTAGTTTTGTCGGAGCATCTTATTAAAAGCTGTGATGACTAATCTCATCTCTCCAGAGGCAGAAAGTGCAGCCGAAGACGCTCTGTTTCAGACCAGCGTTTCCATTCAGTGCCTCGCTCGTCTGAAACTTCTCCCCAAGCGGTTTCCTACGTCTCACCTCGGGTCCGTCATCACGCTCGGCTGCCCCGGTTCTGTAGATTGAAATCCTCCTTCAGCTCCGCTTGTACGTCCTGATGTGGAGCCGCAGCGCGTCATCGAATCAAATCTGGAAAATGCGACAAGAAATCAACCTGCAGGCGACGAGGCAGGAGAGCTTCACTCCTTTATGTCTCAACAGTCACGTCAGAACATCTGAACTCGTCTGTCTCGTCCTTCAGCGTCACTCAGTGTCAGCGTGTCTTTGTCTAAAGCAGCTGCAGTGAACTGAAGAACATCTGACCGATTGTTCAGCCGACACTGGTTGTGTGTAGATCAGCCACAGTTCACTCTACCTGCTGCCTTATTGCACTAAATGCATCAATCATAAAAAAGCTGCAGCATTTCAAGTCATTTGAACCTGTTTGTTTTCTATAAACCTGCCACTCGATGTTAATTCTGTCATTTAGTTCAACCTTTTGCTGAACGTGACCCTTTTAAGGTGAAATATTCTGCATCCATCTGAGCTGTGAACAGTTTTATCAGAGAGTGAATTCCTCCTCACAACTCTCTTTGGAGGGATTTTTTTTTTAGAGGTTGGAAGCTTTCTGACATTTCTCAAAACAATGAAGTTCAGAGAAAAGTCTGCCAAGAAATATAACCGGATATCTCTGAACTTTGTTCCTCGCAGGGTGGCGGGACTTTGCCAATAAATAATAATAAAAAAAGAAAATGTCATCACAGTTTCCAAGACTGAGGTGGCATCGGTCAGAGTGGTTGTGTCCAGCTGGCAGCCGAAAACCAGAACGGATTCAGCTTTAGATCGTATAAAATAAACTAAATCAACCGTTTTAGGGCGTTCCTGTGTGATGAACAACTCAAAAATTAATTCGGTTTTCTGTTGATTAATATTAAAATTCTTATTTAACAGCAGAATTTGCATTCTTTATATAAGCAGCACACAGTTTGGAAATACTGTTTTACATGTAAAAGTTCTGTATTGAAGACGTGCTGCTGTGAAAGTTCTCAGAAAGGATCCATCAGTGTATTATTTAAACTATAATATCAGAATAATGCTGCAGGAGGAGACGCTTGAGACTGATCCAAGAGTTTCATTTATTTCTGACTTTAATCTGAAACGGTGTCGTAAACTAAAAATATAGTTTCAGTAAATATAACGGTAAAATCTTAATGTGTAAATCAACCAATAGCTCCATTAGTAGAGTATATACAGTCGTCCTCAGATGTGTTCATAGCCTCCATGATAGAAGGAAAACACAGCTGTTACTGAAACAAACTGAAATTGACAAAATTAATTATAATATTACTTAACAACTTGTGCACCTGTTGACAGGTGTTCTGGACCACTGCTAATCAGCAAAGGCCTCTCATTGGTCCACCACAGTTTTTAATTTTTTTTTTAAAATTATTCTTTTCACCCACAATTCAAAAGCAACGTCTTATTTCACTAAATTATAATTTAACAAATTTTTATTTGTTTTTACTTTTTCCAGTTTGTAGTTATTTCAGTGACTGTTGTGAATTTTGGCTTTTCTTTAATGGACGGGGATGAATACATCTGAGGACGACTGTACTTATACTTTTGGTTAATTGTTTTTTGCCTCCTTGGTCTGTCTTTAACACAGTGGCTCTTAGCAGAAGTTGCCACAGAAGTCTTTGTCATGGTGTCCGTTTATTTAAACCCACAATGCAACGACTGCAACCCCAGCAATGAACTAAAATATGATGTTTATTTCATTCTTTTTGTAATGTGCGAACTGGTTGTAGGGATGCAACACATTTCTTAGCCGATAACTAGCAGCTGTATCAATTAATAACTGATGAATAATCAACCCAAATGAGCTCCAGTGGCGTCGATGACGCTGTCTCAGCCCACCTTCACTCAGCTGGTGGGCTTTTGGCCTCTCAGAAGTCTTTGTCGTGGCGCCCGCTGCTAGGTAGACTTAGTTAACAGCATGTGTTTGCAGTAGAGGAGGTACAGCAGGTATAGTGCTCTTGTTTTTTCTTCATAACTCTTTTTTGATCAGATAACAAAACAGGAGCTATCTTTTCTAGTCACTTACAAAAAGGACAGTTTAATAAACTTCTACAACCATAACTCATTTGTTAGAAAAGTATTATTTCGGTGCACTAAATCTTTAAAGCTTTAAGTTGCACACTTAGATGAATATTCAATCAGTAGGTGGTCCTAAAACTGTGGTCCTGAAGCTGCAGCTTCTTGTGGTTGCTATAGTCTTAAACGATTAGTGGTTCCACCTGGTGGCAGGACAGGGTACTGCAGTGACACTAAAATACGTGAAGCGTGTAATATGTTGGAAATAAATATTAAATGACTCGGATTAGGGGCAACAAAAAAGAATGACCAGGACATCACAGCCTCTTCATGGTATTAATATCGTTTACACTGTTTATACTATTCACAATATTTATGCTGTTTATTCTGCTCGTTCCAGATGTAGATCATCTGTTTTCCATTGTGTCTATATGATCATACATACGTGTGTTTATAGCCCTGTGTCCATACGTTTCATTCTGTTTATACTGTAACATGATGTAAATAATGCACTTCACTGCTGCATCTGCACTTCTGGTCGGATGCTAAACTGCATTATGTTGTCTTGACAAATTAAGTCTAATCTAGTCCTCTGGTCTCTGCAGTATTAACCCCCCTATTACCTTCAAATTGTATGATATTACCTTTCAATTTGACCTCAGCAATTTAAACATCCATTAAATATAATAATTGAAATTGTTACCCAAGTTTATGTGTAAATAGCCCTTTAAATAAAACTGAAATTCTGTCAGTGAGTTATTTAGAGATGCTAAACTGTCAGATAATAGAGGGTGAAACAGTGAGAGGCTCCACCTGGTGGGACAACCAGGTACTGCAGCTGATCTACGATGCTTAAAGTGTGTGTTATGTAGGAAAATGGTACCAGACAGGCAGATATTAACTCTGGGTGCAAAAAACAAAACAATGAGTTGTGTGATCTATTCCTGACTCGATGCCGTGTCCAGCCCCATGCTTCCTGTTGTCATGCTGTTTTTCTGACGCCCCGCCCTGTTTCTGCCTTGCCCCGTCAGAGATGTGGTACTGGGTGTTCCTGTGGTGTCTCTTCTCGTCGCTCTTCGTCCACGGGGCGGTCGGCCTGCTCATGCTGGTGATGCTGCAGCGCCACAAGCGAGGCCGCCTCATCACGCTGGTGCTGGTCAGCGTGGGCTTCCTGGCCTCCCTGTCCGGAGGCGTCATCACCAGTGAGTCCTGTCGTCCCACTCTGGTTGTCTGCTGCTGTTTGGGTGTTTTTTTTCTTTGTTTTTTTTTCCAGAGAGGCTGAAGACGACGAGAGCGGACGGATCTGTGTGTTAACGCAGACAGACAGGCTAATCTGCTGCTTTGTTTACCTCCAGTTCCTGCAGCTCGGGGAGCCTCAGTGGTTTCTGTCTGCCGCCGACTACATCCAATATCACAGTATATGTGTGTGTTCTGTGAGGGGGAGTGTTTAAGGCCTTTATTTGATAGTAGAGCTGGAGAGTCTGGATGTGAAGTGCAGTAAAGTCTGATTATCCAGCAAAAGATAAACACAGAATATCGATTTTGAATTTAGCAATAAAACAGCGCAGGTAGAAAATGACGAAGGCTCAGGTTCAACATGATGCAGCACGTCTGAGCCCGGCTTTACTTTTTATTATTATTTTATCTTGACTGCAGCGTGTGAAAGTGTTTACAGAAAGGTCCTGGTATTTGGAATCATTTTATTTTGTGATATTAAATCTGCTCCATTTGTTTAAGTGTTTGAACCTCGAGCAGTTTCTGGGCTTTTTTCTTCTTCTTCTCTTTCTTCTTCTTGTTCTTCTTCTTGTTCTTCTTGTTCTTGTTCTTCTTCTTCTTCTTCTTAAAACATTTTATTTTATTGCAGAATCTGGTTCAAATGGTTTATTGTTTTGAAGAACAACTAAATGAGACAATTAGAAGTGATTCTGATGAAATCTCTTAAATTTTAAAGCTTAGATTTGGTTAATTTTCCTGATAGAACGCCGTCAGCTTTTATGATAATACTTTTATTTCCTGTGTCATTTGAAAATGTGGTCAGTTTATTTTTGAAGAAGCTGATATCTTCCACTGAGATAAAAGGTTAATATTTTAAATGTTTCCTCATGTGGTAAACGATCCGTCAGATGTTTTAAATCTATCACACAATAAACACTGAACTGAGGCCGAAAACTTTAAAAAGCAAATCACAGAATTTGTTTAAAAAAAAATCACAAATATTTTTCTCAAAGCATTCATCCCTTAACATACACAGATGTTAAACGACCGTGCATTGGACGATAAAATTGTAATCGTCATCCAAATAACCGAAGCAACTAAAAGCCTTGAAATGTAAACTCTTTAATTTTTTAATTAAAAAATGGTGCAAACAACAACATGATACAGTTTCTATAAAAAATATTGTTAATACACTTAGTCGTGGTCAATTTAATTTGGCTTTTTGACCAGAATTTACAAAAAAAGACTTTAATGTCAAGATTTCCTGCAAAGTAAAGTTATTACCACTAATGTCAGGTCTCTACTGAGCAGCTCTGTGTCAGCCTTTAGTCTTTTCTGTCTCAATCTTTATTTTTCTTTCTCCCTCGCAGCTGCAGCGGATAGCATTTCATTGTGTCTTTATTTACTTCTGCTCACCGAACCACAGTTTGATCAGCGAGCGTGTAAATAAACCTGAACCTCTGGTATCGTAGTTCAGCAGCTCTCCCAGAATAGAAAACTCTTCATTATTAATGCGCAGTAATCAGTCAGCGCACTGTTGACTGTCTCCACCGGCGCTGGGCTCAAAGTCAGAGCGTGTTTGCAGAGAGAAAAGGCAGCAAACTCAGCTGAGCGGACGTGAAGGAAAGGTCAGAGGAGGAAATGTCAGCCGCTAAAGCCCAGAAATACTCTGTTTCCCTTTTCTGTACATTATCTGTGGTCGGATTTGATTCGAGGCGGCGATGTAAGCAGAGAAACGTGTGCTGGATTAGCTGAGCGTGTAAACACAGATCGATACTGACAAGAACTTAAAGGCAACGTGGTTCTCAGGCAGCTTCTAGAAGCGTTTTTTTTTGTCCTCGGTGAAGTTCTGGACGTTAACTCTCGATCAGAAGCGACACTGAATCTGGGGACGCCACTACATCTCACCTGGTGGAGCTGGCGTCCCGTGTGTGGAGCTACAGGCCCAGACACGGCGGTCGTGGGTTCGACTCCCGCTCATGGCTCTTTGCTGCTGGTTCTTCTCCCCCCACTTTCCTGTCTTTCTCTCTGTCCTATCAAAAACAAAAGGCCGAAATAAATATATTTTAGAAAGAAAAGAAATGATACAGAATCTGAAAAAAGTCATTTAGAAATCTGCCAAAAAGAGAAACTGTTTGCAGTTTCCAGATTATGTAAAAAAACGTCTGCATTAACCTGCAAAAACAAGAAGCCGTGATTCACTACAAACAGTCACATGACAAACATTCAGAGGCTTTGAACTGCCGGCAGCGTTTCCACAGAGGAGACGAGTTGGAAGCACATTAATAAACAGTAAAATATCTACAGTAGGTAGAGTCGCCATTTTATTCCAGTGTTGCTAACATCTGTGGACATTTAGAAAACTGTTGGACATGTTAAATTTGTAAAGTAAATACTGTAAATTCCGGACTATTGAGGCACCTGAATATAAGCTCCACCCACTGACTCTAAACAGAAAACCAGGTGTGTACATATCCAGGCTGCTCTGGTCTCTAAGCTGCAGGTGTCCACGTTGGAACATGAGATATTTACACAGAAAGATGTTTTAACTTTTAATTAAATACGTACCGTAGATGCTTTTTTTCTGACCACTTCCTGTAACACGGCTGGTTAAGGAAATAAAACTCCAGCAGCTACCAGGAAAAGTCACTGATGGCTATCTTCATCTTCCTCCTGCACTAAAACCACTAAAGTCGTCTTCTTCAGTGTCTTCAGGAGCTGAACAGCCTCAGAAACGCAGAACAACAGCTTTTATTACTGATGCGTCAGACTGTCAATTATTCTAATAAAAGTTTTAAATCCTTCAAGAATAAAATCAGTTTAGTGTTTTTATACCAGTTTGTTTATTAGACTCAAGAGGTTAGTTGTCATATGAAGAAAAAAACAAAACTGTACAATGAAAATCCTCCTTTACAAAAGAAACAGACAAACTAAAGCTATTCTAAATGAATAAGCACCTGAGTGGTTATAAGGTGCACCGTGCATTACCATGAACCTTGGTTTGGATAAAGGGGTTATAAGGTGCATATGATGGCGGTAAACAGTTTTACAGTCGTAGACGTTCAAGGTAGCAGCAGTGGTTGAATAATATGTGATCTGGAAGTTTTTCTGACTGATCAACTGTCGACAAACAAACAAATGAAACTGAAATCTGTAAATCAGCGAGAGTGTGTTTTAAACGTCATAGTGTTGAGTCAGCGTCTGAACCAATCAGCTGCGAGCACCAGGCGTCTCCCATCTGAGCAGCAGCAGCAACATCTGGATCTCACTGTGTTGTTTTTACCATCAGAGCAAGTCTGGATCTAAACTCCTCTCCAATGAGCCTAATAGATGGAAATTGAAATAATGATGCTGTGTTCCAGGGTTCTCTGTGTTTTAACGCCGCTGATGTGTTCCCCTTCAGGTGCGGCAGTGGCGGGAGTTTACCGCGTTGCAGGGAAGGACATGGCGCCGCTGGAGGCGCTGGTGTTCGGCGTCGGTCAGACCACCCTCTCCGTGGTCATCTCCTTCTCACGCATCCTGGCAACCCTGTGAAGAAACCCGACGCGAGGGCAGAGCGAGCGAATCGAGCCGACCACAGACTTAAAGCCGGCTTCGGCGGAGCGGGACGAGGCAGAAACGCTCCGGACCTTTGGGGCTGGATGCAGGACGGAGCGCCCCCCAGTGTCTCTGCACCGCTACTGCCACAATCACAGCTCGGCGGGAACCTGGAGGCCGGTCCAGGCTCAGCTGCTGGACTTGAAAGCCATTTTTCTGTCTCCAGAGTTCCATCAGTTCTTCGTGCCAAAAGCCTTCTCCGGGACACCCAGACGCCTTCGTGGCCATTTGTGACTCCTGAAGGCTTCTGTTGGAGAAAGAAATCTATTTTTTAAACAGTGACGACACGTAATCATGAACAAAGCCGACGGTGTTTAGGGAGCGTTCATCAGCAGAAACACCAGTATTAACTATCACCTCCTTCCTTCTCCCCAAGACAGCTTCAGAAGCTGCAGCATCAAACTCAAGAGCAAGAAGAAGCTTTGGAAGTTTGCACTTTGTAAATGTTGGCGAAATCAGTGGAGGGGGAGGAGAAAACCAGCAGCAGTGCTACGTCTGCTTTGTCCTGATGAAATATTGATTTATTGTGTGCCAACAACGAACTTAAGGGAAAAGTTTGGGTGATCTGCTCGGTCGCTTTCTCTCAGAGAGTTCCAGCTGCAGTAGGCAGAAATCAGCAGAAAGAAAGGAATCCAGAAACATGCAGCCCCGTTTCTCTCACCTCACCAGACACGTAGGACTTCAAAGATAGTGGAGCTAAAAGTCAGCATTCACAGTGTTTTCACCCAGATTCAAACCCAACGGCTCCCCGTTCTTACTTTGGACCTTGTTGTTATTTATGTTGTGGAGGTTTTGATCAATATCTGGTCCGATCAAGGCTTTTTTTTTTTTAATCTTCTCAGCATGAACCTATTCTTTGTTTACATCTGCTGTCAAACAAGTAAAAGGAGAGCACGAATCGTAGACGGACCATAGGGACGCAAATTTAAACGGTTTCTCAAAACTATAATCTACAGCGTTATTAACCGACAATAATCAATAACACAAGTTGAACACACTGTAGCCGTGTGCTGATGTTGCTGTTACAGTCAGCGTGCATGGGATGTCGGATTTCTTACGTACGCTACAGGCCAAAAGTTTGGAAGCAACTTCAAGTTTCTGTTCACGGTGGGATGTGTTTACTGCATGATCAGACTTTCACTGGTGAGCACCGTTGTCCTCCGTTTACCTCCAGGTGTACACTGATGTTACCACAATAAACACTTTTTTAGTTTTAGGGTTGAGAAGATTTGCAAGAGTCACAACTTCAGTGCAAAAGTTAAAAAAAATAATCACATTATTCACTTTAGCTCTTTGGCTTTTGAGCGTTTATGTACAAAAATCCCAACAGATCTCCACAGTGTCCATGTCTGTGACCAACGACCACAGAAATGAAAGAAACAGCTGAGCAAAGAAACAAGAGTCCAGATTTGTATATTGAGGAAAGAAGGACTCACTGAAAGGGAAACTGCAAAACGCCTCATGGTGTCCAACAAAGGAGTTCACAAGGTTTGGAAGAAAGAGGGTTACTACAAAAGCAGAGGATCAACATATCGCTGTCAGCAGTAAGAGAGATCGGCGGGAAAACAGCTCCACAAATCAGGAAGAAGTCAACATGACAAGGTCAAACCCATAAAAACAACAACAAGAGTTTGTCCAAATAACAAGAAAAACGGAGGATCTATGGTGACTGGAAACAAGTTCTCTGGACCGACAAAAGCAAGTTTGAACTTGAGTCGATGTTCACAGATGAACTGGTGAACATCTTAAAGACGCCATAAGGCATGGAGGTGGTAGCACCATGGTGTGGGGATGACCTGCAGGTGATTCAGTAGATTTGTCTGAAGAAGCAACAGCATCATGCAGTTCCATCTGGACTAAAACTTGTAGCTCGAAAGTTTGTTTTGCTGCAACATTGTGACCCTAAGCGTCCTTCCCAGTTCTGTCAGGGCTACCTAGACAAAAAAGAAGGTGTTCTTCAAAAGATGGTTTGGCCCTCGAAGTCTCCAGACCTCTCTAATGGAGCTTCTGTGGGACGAATTGGATCCGTCAGAAAAGTGCGTCCCACTAATCAGCAGTCTCTCACTGATCAACTTAAAGCTTGGAATGAAAAGTATTTGTTGCAAAGTTTACCAGTGAACCTCTGACTTTTCTTATCCACGGTTGACCTTGCTTCCAAACGTTTGGCCTGTAATATATAAACGCTGTCCTCGTTAATCCCAGTTTAAAACATGTGACTTCTAATCGGAGGTCATGAACCTCCTCAGAGTCTCTGTCATGGTCCCATTGCTGCTAAACTCCCACAATGCTCTCTGCTGCCACCATGAGCTGTAGTCTGAGTGAGGCCTCCTCTGGTCGCTACAGGATTAAACAGGAAGAGGCTCCACCTGGTGGAACAACCAGGTACTACAGCTGGTCTACGATAGATCTGCTGACATCATGTAGAGAAAACAGGTTTTCTCCATCTGTTGGAGCCTCAGAACATCCTATAATTCTAACAGAGTTCTACTGGAGCTTTACAACAAGGTTCCACTGACAGAACATGACGGAACAGACTGGAGGCAGAAATGCAGTTTTTTCTTAATGCATTGCAGAAATATTCAGGTGTCAAGCAAATAGATCTGAATTGATTTTAATAACATCAATGTACTTGAAGTGTGTATTATGAAGGAAAATGCCAGATATGGGATTGGACTAAATATTAGATAAGTTGGGTCAGGATGTAACTAGCGATACAGTCACTCCTGTTCTGGGTGGAAATACCTGTGATTCACTAAAATCTCACATCACATTTTGTAAAGCCTGAAAACTGAGCCAAGATGAAACGCAGACGTCTAGTTTCCAGTCATATCACTTGAATTACAAAATGTTGAAGGGTTTGTGTGAAACTTTTGCCCGATGAAGCCAAAAGAACGTCCTGCCTACTGCAGCTTCAAATGAAATGACCTCTCTGATGTCTGTGCTGTGAATATGAAGCCAGGAGATGCTTAGCTTAGCTTAGCTTAGCTTAGCTTAGCTTAGCTTAGCTTAGCATGAAGACTGGTAACAGGGTGAAGAAACTAACCTGGTTCTGTCCAGAAGGTTAAAACAATCTACTCAGCAGCCCGTCTGAAGCTGTGACTGTAGAGACACACTGCTGATGTTGGACTAGTGTTGTGTGGTCAGTCTGGTTTTGTTTGTTTCCCGTTTACAGAACCCAGCCTGTGTTCACACACACCACATGATTATTTTTTTTGCAGTGCAAACTCAGAACAGAAAGCTAGCAGACCATGAAATCACCAAATCTGACACTAAAGCCCCTTTCAGAACCGAACTCCTTCCCATTAATCTGACAGCATCTGGACGTGTCGGCTTCATGTCTGAATGAACATCCTGCTAACTCTGGTGAAAAGTCGCAGCAGCAGCGAGTCGCTCTTCACTTTGAACACGACACAAGTCTGATCAGTCGCATTAGCAGATGGACGGTCACTAACGAGGTGTGCTTTGTGTAAAGCAGCATCAGACAGCAGCAGGATGAATGTGAGCGACTCAAAGACGAGGTTCAGTGAATCTACACACAACAATTAACTCTTTACCTCTTGCTAGTTACTTGGACAGTTTATTATGCATTATTGTGTTTTATACATCACTGGATGCTGCGTCCTGTCATACGTATCTGATAAATATTGTCTGTCACTGTGGCATCCGAATGACAGACGACTGTCATTTAAACAGACTGATGGAGCAGCAGCGCTACGTACTCATGTCTGAAAAGGACGAACATGCATCAAATCACAGTTTTTACCTTTAATCTGTGTCAAAACTGATCGTTTGCAGTATTTCTAAGCATCAAGCAGACACAGAAACCTGGTTAAAAGTATTGTTCTTATACTCTGAATTAAACAAACGAGGTATGAATCACAGAGAGTCTGGTATGCAGAGCCACGCTAGCTGTTTCCATCTGTTTCCAGTCTTTATGCTAAGCTAAGCTAACCGTCTCCTGGATTCATGTTCACAGACATCAGTCACTTTCTGCAACAAAGCGAGTCAGCAGTTTGTCCAATGATTCCTCTGAATCAGACGGAGGAAGCTCTCAGTGGTGTAGGTTTGCTTCGAGCAGGTTTCATTCAGGATCAGATTCCTCGTTGTCGTTTTGCTGCTGATGTTTCCGGACACTCTGGTGTTTCTGTGAGTCCTGAAAGTGCAGATTTTCAGTCATAACGCTGGAGCGGAGCCTCCCTGTGGAAAGCCATCCAACCCTCCTGCCAGGAGAAGGTCACGCATTCTGCTGCTCAAATTTTTTTCTACGGCTCCCTCTCCTTCATTGTTTTCTTTATTAACCCGTGTTCCTTAAGTTTAACTTTGCACGTTGCACTGACTTTAATCTGCCTTGTTTTAGCACAGCGTGTGACGGTTCTGCTCTGCCGTGACCCAGTCCTGTAAACAGTCATCAGACACTGACGGACTCTGATAACGTCGTCGTGGAAGAACAAACTGTGAGAAGAATGTGCTTGGAGCTACTGTATCTGACTTGTTCACTGGAACATTTGAAGTTTCCATTACTTGGTCCTTGATTCTTCCCAAACCTGAACCGAGGAGTTTTGTTGAAATGCCAAAGTTTCACTCACATTCTAGCTTTATTCACTTTTCTCATTTAATTGTGGTTTTATTCAGTTTTAGGAACATTTTGCACTTTGGTATCCAGACATTTGATATGAATTTGACTAAAATAATAACACGTTTGTGTCATTTAGCGTGTGTGTTTTGGGGGTTTGGTGGCTCTAAAGGTAAATTATGTAATTGACACGGCTCACCTTCGGTACCAGCTCAGCACACAGGAGGGCGCTGTTGCACTGAGCTGAAGTGGCAGCAGGAGCCTGGAAGATGATTGTGGGTTTAGAAATGTTGAACATTTGACACAAAAAACAAAAACAGAAACAGTTCTTTTTGTTGTGGAATGATTATGTGGAAGCCGAGGAGTCGCCTGCACGTCGTCTGCACCTCCTGCTTGAATGTTTCAGTTAAATCTTCAGGGACCAAACGTGAGTCGCTGCCGATGACTCACCTGCTGTCAAGGCAGTGAAATCTCTGTGAAGCTGTTTGTGGGGCAGTTTCTGCATGTTTGTGTGTCCGTGTGACTCATAGGAGACGTGAGCGCTGTTGTTGTTGTTGTTGTTGTTGTTGCTGCTGCTCGTGTCGGTCTGTGCGGTTGTGCATGTGAGTAGTGTAACAGGATCTTCATTTTATTGTCGGGGAGGCGGTTCTGCAGGGCGGCAGAACGGGCGAGGACCTAATAGGAGGCGACAGCAGCTCACTGAGCGACGGGTTACAGATTGTGTGGTTTTTTTTGTGGACAAAAGTGCAAGAAGTCCAAGTTGTCAGATCATCCAGAGCTGTGTTTACTTCACCAGGCTGAACATTTACCAGCTACAACTGATGTCTTGTGGAAAATTCCCAGTTAAAGAACATTTCAGGTGTTTGTCATCACAGCTGCAGGTATCCAGACGTCACATTGTTAAAGTCTGACTAGTTATAATTCAAGATATCCTTAACCTCAACTGGAGCTGAAGGGTTTGGGGGAAATATCTATTTACAGTGTTTTGTGACCATTTTTTGTGGGATTTGAGTTCAGAATTTAGTATTTAATAGATTGAAACACTGCTGGAGGGACGTGACTGTAAAATATCGACACGACACTTTAAACTCTGAGTCCGATGCTACAAAATGCCAGATGAACCACAGAGTAAACAGACACCTTGAAGTTTCTGTCAGTTTGAATAGAACAAAATATAATTACAGCATTAATTTTAATCATTTACACACTTTGTACATCTTAAATTGCAGCCTTTGTGATTTTTGTGTGTTCAGCCCCAAACTACAGTTTTAAGACATCCTCATTGCCCTTTTTTTTATAGAGATATTTAAATAACTAACGTTGGGAATGTCTTGAACTGGACTTCTGCTCAGTCAGAATGTAACTTCAGACGACTTGAATCAGAGTTCAGACTCTGTGAACAGACAGATGAGCTGTTTTATCTCCATGTCAGAGCAGCCTGAGGACAAAGTTCTACCAAATTTAGATGATAAATCGCCGACGAACGAAGCTCTCGTTCTCCTCCTTTAACCACCACGGCAGCCAGCGTTACTTCTGCCAACGCTGTTTAAATGCTTTGCTGGACCGACATCCAGTGGGCAGCTTCGCATAAGAAGCTTCATCACATCAGTTCAGACGAGTCGTGTAATGTTTGAGGTACCTGCAGCTGTTGTGATTCGTTCAAACTGAATTAAAGACGTCTGTAACTGGTTTTCGATAGTCAGGATGACGGAGAAATCAGTAACTGTAACGCCAGTCAGCCTCAGCTGGTAAATGTTGGATTACTATAGCGTGAAGCTGTCAGGTGTCTGATGTGCGGCGTCTGCAGATGTTATTCTGACCAGTTCAAACTGGGTGACAGAGATCTCTAACTGTGCTTCTGACTGGTCAGAATAATGTTTGTATTTCTCCTGACAGCTATTAAATGTTAAAACGGTGTTCAGCTGATGGATTGTAAGTGTCTGATAATCATCCTGATGAGTTACAGATCTGTCTACCAGTCAGGTTGGTGTTCCTCCTGATGGTCAACCTCAGCGGTTAAATGTTAAAATGATGTTAAACTGTCTGAGGACAGATGTCAGGACTGCATTATAAGAGTCTGAATAGTGGCGTCTGCAGATATTATCACTGATACATCTACTTGTGGTCTGGACTCGTCAGATTAGTGTTCTGATCTGACTGGTCATTGGGGATGTCTTCAGTGATTTCTGACAGTCAGCCTCAGATGTTTTGGTGTGAAGCTGTCTGGGGACGTCAGGACTACATTGTAAGTGTCTGATGGTGGCGTCTGAGACGTCTCTACCTGTGGTTTTGATATCTGGGAGTCCTGACTAGTCATTGATGATATCTGTAGTGATTCCCGACAGTCAGGCTGTTAAATGTTTAAACCTCTCACCACACAAACCAACCAGCGGCCGGATGATGTTTTGACAGCTGAAGTCTTCACGCCCAGCACCACCATCAGTCATGATGTTTTTTTTTCCGCTCCAGGTTCTGTGATTCAGCCGCCGTCAGTGTTTATGAGGAGACACCCAGCAACTAATAATCCCCTGTAGACTTTTAAAAATGCCATCACGCTGCAGCTCAGTAATCCGGCCTCTTTCACGGGGCTTAAGACTGACGCTGCCCCCTCAGCCTACTGTCGTCCAAATGCCACAGATTCCCCCCCGGACTCGTACTGTATTCCCCGCTGTGCAGATAATGTGTGAATGGACTATACGGACAATCCAACAAGAGACAATGATGTACAAAACCCAAAGTGGCACTTGTAGATAATGTACGATATGTTCTTTTTTAATTTTGTACCAGCCAAGCCGCTGATATTTATAACTATTGCCTATTTATGTACAAACTGTTCTCCTGTAAATACTCAGCAGTCGGTTGAAATAAAACTCTTTTGCAGTATAAATGCTCAGAAGTGTTGTTTCCAGTCTGTGTGAATCTGATTTATCGTCCAGCTACAGCGGCGGCGGCTCGATTCTGGCTCTGTGGAGGAATCTGAAAGGCCTCGTCTGCATCCTTTTCCCCTTGATGCTCTTAAAAATCATTCTCCTTTTGGTTTTATGGCTTCTCTGCTGCTGTTCTTCTTCACCTATTTGCTATCTTTACCATTAAATGCTCACCTGCTTTTGACTGGTTGAACTGTTTTCAGATATTTTTTTGGAAAACATTGTGTGAACTCTGAAATCTGTCCTGTGGTGTAGAATCTATAAAAGTAGTAATGAGGGTCATTTAATCAGTGTAAAGGTGAGGAAAGCTGCAGATTTTTATCTGTTAAATGGAAATTATTTATTTACAGATGCCAGATGTTGATTTTAGAGCTTCTATCTCATTTTCTTTATGTGTGTCTGTGCACCTTTAATGACTATATTCACTACAGTTCTGTATTAATGCTCTATTTTAGCCACTGGGGGGCAGCAGAAACACAATGTGAAAGCAACACAGATCATTTTATTTACACGCCCAGCAGCTAGGGAGCAAAATCCTCCCTCCTCTTCTCAGCCATTATCAGAAAACATTCACCTGTTCAGCAGAACCACTTGGACTGTTTTAGATTTTATTTTTGTGTGTGTGTTGTATGAGCTCTTTAAAAGACGTCTGCCTTGTTGTGTAGATTCATTCAGATCTTTAAATTCAGTAACAACAGATGTTTAATCAGCGTAAAAGTGAGAAGGAAGACTGTTGAGAGACGATTGATTTAAAGTTAAAGCCTGGTGTTGCTTTTGCATACTTTTATGGACCTTAACTGATCGCATTGATTTATGTTTTTGTATTGAAACTCCATTTTATCCACTAGGGGGCAACAGAAACACAATGTGAACACTGC